AGCACTACCTTTGCTTGCGAGGGTGTCGCCTAGACTAGCCTGGTCTCCAGCGTCGCCCAAGCTTCCCAAGTGTCTACTTGGCCTCCTAAGCCTCACTTAGACCACCCTCCTAGCGTCACACAAGCTTCCCTAGCCTTGCTCATACCACTACCCAGACCAACCCTAGATTTATTTGGCATCTCCAGACCGCCTAAGCATCTTTTGGCATCACCTAGTTGCCCACTGCATTGGTGTCACCTCATGCTCCAGGGGCGTCTTTCATGGATTCCCTAAGCGATACTCTCTAAGTAAAAATCTATCGAGCTCTCTTGGAACTATGGGACAGAGAGAATGGTGCTCTTCCAAGATCAGAGATCATTGCCTACTCTAAGAAGGAAAATTGTGATGTTCAAGACTGCATTGGTTTCTGATAATGGTGGTTAATTTTTTCGAAGTTGTAGCAGTCTTTGATGAACTGCTGCGTTGCACTGCACTGCACAGTTCTGTTGTGTTGTTGTGCTAATGAGTCATTAGAAGGAGGTAGGCTGCTGTGCTGTGTGTTTTTCTGGTCAGTTCCTGTTGTGTTGAGTGTACTGCTGAACTGCAATTTTGATTGTGAGATATGGAAAGATGTAGGGTGCTGTCATGCTTACTGTTTTACTTGAATTTTAAGAGATTGTATTTTTTTTTGATTCACAAAATATATAATGATTTTGTTGTCTTGTAGGATTAAAGCCAACATGTGGCTTATCCTCTTTACTTCTTGTAAATTTTTTTTGTTAAATGAATAAATTTCTATTTTTTCAAAAATAAAAAAAATATGGGACATGAGCTGTGCCAGCAGAGCCAAGGCGCCGCCACGCCACCGGCATTGCCTGCCCCTGCCTAATGTCCACTTGCTACTTGGCTAAGAATTGACTCAGGACCTAAAGCCCTATTGAAATTCTACTCCCAGTATCAAGGGACTGTTGATAAACAACAACTTCTAGCGAGCACATCTCATCCTACAATCTATGACCTAACGTCCTAATACGATTCTACCTCAAATGTTAGGGGATTGATGATAAGGTCTATCATATCACAACCTGAAATTCAAGTCCATATGGAACACCGCTTCCTATACTATTATAAATAAAGGTTCCGGGTACTAGATATGTCATGAAATTTTAGCCTATTCACCATATACTTTTTCTTTGACTCGCTTACTGACTTAAGCATCGGAGTCTCTTTGGCCACCTCTGACTATCAGTTCACCTAGATTTTCTTTTGTCTTGCAAGTTTAACAAGACTTCCCTGCCATCATCTTTATTCTATAAGATCTGACCTCGATGGATTACAATGTTGAATTGATTCTAATCCTTGAGCTAATTGGAATCATTGAATTTGACCAGGGAAGGCCTAGTGGTGCCCATGTCTCAGTGCTCAACAATGTTCTCATGCAAGCACCCTAAATCTCTCAGCTTCACGCTCTCTTTCGAGTCGCCAAAGTTTGAATTAGCTCTGCATCTACTCTCAAGCAGACAGTCTCAATCTCTAACTTAGCGTCTCTTTCACGAGTTGCCAAAAAAGCTTGGCACAACTCTGTATCAAAAACTCGGGCCCATTCTGCTTATGCTCTAACATAGACAACCTCAGTTTTCTGTTTAGTGGCTCTCTTACTAGTCACCAATAGCTTAGTCTAATCTTATCTCTGCTTTAAAGTAGCCTTGGTCTCCCAAAAGCTTGGTCTAACTCTATCTGTGCTTACACCCAGGCAAACTCATTCTCCAAAAGCTTGGCCTCAAGAGTTATTGCTCTCTCATGAGCCAACCTCAATTATTCCTCTACAGCCCAAGTCTCTCTTCCGCCAAAGTTTTCTACTCCTCGTTGAGTTTGAGTGTTCTCAAAAGTACAGAAAAGTCGTAGCCATTGTAAAATTTTGAAAAGCCAAAATGTCAGCATGGCCAAGCATACAGAAGACAGAGTTCCACATAACAGTGGTGTACCATAGCAAAGCCCTTTTTTGTGGTATCGATGATACTTTCAAAACTCCAAAAGCTGACATCCAAGGGTGTCATAAACATCCAAAGATTTTTCTTAGCCAAAATTCATATTATGTAGTAGGAACACCAGGCCATTGTTAGAAGTAAAATAATTATGTGAAGCACTGGGGGCATCAAACCCCGTCTTCTGAGAAACAGTAGGACCGTCAGACCTCATCTAGAAAGCATTGGGGGCATCAGATCTCACCTTTTCTAGGAGGAGGGGAAATCACCATCCTAGCGACATAGAGAGCCTTTGTCATTGATCCATCAACTATGGGATCACCTATGAAAGAGAGAATTTTCATAAACATCATCAATTTGTCTGAGTCTTTCATGGTGTCGCCCATGGCACCACCCATCGTTGCGCCTTCCCTGGTGTTGCCCAAGTTCATATCCAAAGCGTCACCCAAGCTTTTCTCCCTTTTAAAGGCGCCACGCAACAAAATATCTCTATCTCCATGCGCCAAAGCATCTATGCTTCTTTTCATCCTCTCCAACAATAGTGCCACCAAATGGAGAAATAAGCCTCAAAAAATGCCATGGAGTGTAAATATAAATTGTAAGCCCTTTATACACAAGGGAGACACATCTGCATCTCACACATAACTATCTCTCTCATAACTACCTCATCACACCTAGAGCTTACTCATGCTCTCCCTTTAACTACTTATCAATAAAGTCTTTCGGCCACCGTTGCCGCCTTTAAAGTAGAGTAGGTCACCCTAACTGAACCACTCTATATATGTGTTACATGTGTTGATTTCATCTTTATATTTACTGCATTTATTAATAGCATAAATCTACTTTTGTGCATCATCAAGTACTTTTCAAACAAAAATATCGATCTATTGTACTTTTAAATTTATTTATTGATCTACTATAATTTTTAAAAGCAGAATCATTGATTCTGTTTTCACCATGAAAGCGGAATCAACAAAAGCGCTTTTAATACTTACAAAAATATAAATTTTTTTTGTTGCTTCAGTTGTTGAAAGCGAAATTGTCAATTCCGCTTTCAACAATGAAAGCAGAATCGACAATTCCATTTTTAAAAACTATCGTAGATATATTTATTTGAAAAGTGTTGTATTTTAATAATAAATTCATCTTATAGTTATACTACATTTGGCATAAGGTAGAAGAACGATTATTTTATGAGCACTGTTATTAGAATTTAATTTATTGACCTAATTTATTGACTTAATTCACTATAATATTTAAATTAATTGTGAGCTCTATCAAATATTAATAATTTTATTAAAATTATATCATTATATTAATAAATTGAATCAAAATTTTAACTCTAAATAAAATTACTCTTATTTTATTACATAGGAAAAGTCAGGTTGGGTGGGTCTGACCAGATTAGATTCATCGTCCTCTGAAAACAGCTGGTTCCCATGCCCAGACAAAAGGCTTTTTTGAAAAATGGAAATGGTCCAAACTGTACTTTTCCATTAGGCAGTAGGTAGTAGCTTTGGCATTAGATCAAGATCAAGTGGGCTGCCTGGCCCGTCTTCAGTCGCTTTCGGATCAAGTGGCAAACCCGCGCACATACACACACAGCAGTACACATAGATGGAAATTCACAACTCTATGTGGATGTGGGTTGTTTAGTGGGAAAAAGAAAGATAGATGATTCCATTATTTTCCATCATTTACATTTAGGCAAAATTTTAGTTACACCACTTCTAATTTATTATATTTTATATATTTTTTTAATTTTTAAAATTTTTACTGTAACCCTATGTTTAATTAAATGTGATAATTAAAGTACAATTTTATTTTTTATATTTTTTATGTATTAAAATTATATTTTTTAACATATTAAAATTTGAATCAATTAAAAATCAGTTTCAATCAAATTTTAATTTACCTGAATTTTGATATATAAAAAAATATAAATTTTAATCGACTGGAAACAAATTTTAATATGTAGAAAAATAAATTTTAATCAGCTTGAATTTTAATATATAAAAAAATAAATTTTAATTGACTTGAATTTTAATCAAATTTTATCTAGAAAGATTGTTTGGAGTTATGTTGGGTCAATTTTGGTATTTTAGATATATTTTTTTTGGTTAGAAGTTGTGGTTTAATGACAAAGAGTGTAAATAAATTTTATATATAAAATAAAAAAGGTGTGTCAGTCATATTTTTGATAATATAAAAAAATATTTGTGAAAATATAGTAAATTAAAAACATTTATGTTTAGGTTTGAATTTGGGTTTAGAGGTGTGAATTTGAGGGAATGGCAGAGACCATTCATTTTGAAAATTTGCGGTGGCGGTGGCGGTGGGAAACCTTGGCTAAGGGGCACGAAAGTCAAAGCAAAAAATTTTGGCGAAAGGACAATAGGTATACGTATACGCGTACGCTGTACGAAAGTAGACTGGGACATACAGAACTAGAACTGTGCTTTATATATACCCTAACATGTATGTATGCGATTAATTAGAGGTAATTTGTGTCTAAAAATAAAATAAAACATAATGAGAATGATTTTAAGGAAATGTTGATTACCATTAAATGACTTTATTTGATATTGTTAGATAAATTTATTTTATTTTATATTATAAATTATAGACATTTACGTTTAATCAAAATTTGACACAATACTTATTGGCTCTAAATGTTTTTATTTTTTTTCACAAGCAGTTATTATTTAATTATAGTTGTGTTGTGTCTGATATTTTACACAATATTTTCTCCCCGAGAGAGTGAGACTCCTGATTTTGACAAAAATTTCGTATGTCTTGTCCCCATGCTTGAAAAACCAAAAAATTAAAAAAGATAGTAATAAATTGGAAGTGTCGTTGATTCTTCCGGGTCCGAGGGCGGCCGGAACTTTTACCCCCACACCCTTGTTGAATTTACTGTTTTTGCCAAACCCCGTACGGTGGAAGGAGGGAGAGGAAAAAGAAATGTTGAACCAAAGGACAGAGAGAAAAAAGTAAAAAAATATTACTTACTACCCACCCACCCGATGGTTGAACAAAAAAAAAAAAAAAAAAACAACAGAGACTTGACTTTGTTGGTCCTTTCCTTTCATCTCCTCAGATCTCTCATCTCTTCTGTGCAAAACGCCCTGTTTTAGATCTCGGAGGAGAGTTAGTTTTTATTTTTATTTTTAAAGTTCGGTTCCTTCCGGTTGATGATGATCTGTGTTAATATTATTCATCATCGTGTATCAGGCTGAGATAGAGATCTGAATACTGGAAAGTAGCAGAAGAGAGATATCTACAATTTTTTTTACTTGTCAGCTTGGATGATTGATTCATATTGTTTTGTTAGTCGAGAGAGAAAGGAAAGGAAAGGATCCTCAAGGTTTTTGGTGCGGTGGGGATGAACCCTTAGACAGACAGACAGACACTCGTAAAAGGTACAACCTATAGTATAGTTTATACCTAATAATTTTTTTCTTTCTTTCTTTCGGGTTTTGGGAGATTTAATTTCGAGTTCATTATCGTGTCGCTTGTTGTTCTCCTTTACTGTTTACCAATCATTCTGGCGGATCTTCGTGTTGTATTCCAAAACTTTTGGTTTTTCAAGTTTATTTAGATAACGAAAAAAAAACAAACGCACAAGCCGATTTTTGTTGTTTTATAGTTTTTTGTGCTTCTCTCAAATTTCCAACAATATAGGTGGTCTGTCTGTATGTTGGAGAGTTTGGAGAAGGATGGAAGAGGTAGGTGCGCAAGTAGCTCATCCAATATTCATCCACCGCCAAACACTCGCTGCTCGATTCTCTGAGTCTCATCATCCCATGGCCAAGAAACGCGGCCTTTCTTTTCGGCCAACAGAGCCGCATCACCAACAAGGGCTTCAAAACCCCATGAATAACTGGAACCCTAAGCTCTGGGATTGGGACAGCGCCAGGTTCGTGGCCAAACCTTTGGTACCAGATGTACTGCGCCTGGATACTGCGACAGCTACAGCTGTGCAATCAGAGTCGCAACGGAGAAGAAGGGAGGAAGAAAATAACGCAGCAAATTCGGCCAATTTGAAGAAGAACCCAAACGCCGTGTCCGTGGATGAAGATGATGAAAGACTTATCCACCTGAAGCTTGGTGGCTTGGATTCTGCGACGGAGGCTGGGTCAAGGCCCAATAAGAGAGTCCGATGCGGATCTCCAGGTGGTAGCAACTATCCCATGTGTCAGGTCGATAACTGCAAGGAGGATCTGTCCAATGCAAAAGATTATCACCGGCGTCATAAGGTGTGCGAGGTTCACAGCAAAGCCAGTAAAGCTTTGGTGGGGAAGCAGGTGCAGAGGTTTTGCCAGCAGTGTAGCAGGTTGGTTATATTTGAGCGAGTTAAGTTGATTTACAATTCATTTATATTTACATATATGTTGTCTCATTTTATATGACTATGGATTTGACCTTTTTGGAGTCTTCATTGGAAGATGGATTAAGTGTGTAAGTTCTCTGTTTTCCTCTCCATTGTTGTTAGTGGGAATTTGTCATCATGGATTTGATAAAACATGCCTGCTACTAATTTCCATTCAAATGATGTTTTTATCTTGCTTTTGCTCTCTTTGAGCCATTATGAATTTTTTTTTTTGGTTTTTGTCAGGTTTCACCCTCTTTCAGAGTTTGATGAGGGGAAGCGGAGTTGTAGGCGGAGGCTTGCTGGGCACAACAGGCGGAGGAGGAAAACTCAGCCCGAGGTTGCTACCTCAAGGTTGTTACTCCCTGGAAACCGTGAAAACACTGTCAATGGAGATTTGGATATTGTCAATTTGCTGACAGTTTTAGCACGTGCACAAGGTAAAACAGTTGGCTTGTTGGTTGGATTGTACTCACTCTTTCCTCATTCCATTAATATGAATTTACTTGGAACACTAGGGAACACCGGGGGCACAAGCATCAATTGCCCATCAATGCCTAATAAGGACCGGGTCATTCAGATTCTCAGCAAAATAAATTCATTACCTTTGCCAGCGGACTTTGCCGCTAAGTTACCAATTTCAGAATGTTCGAATAAAGGTGTGCCCCACCAAGTTTCTTCTGAAAACCAGGACAGCTTCAATGCAAGTGCATCTTCTCCATCAACCATGGACTTACTTGCTGTTCTTTCAGCAACTCCGGCAGCACCTGCTTCTGACACTCTAGAATTGTCATCTCAAAGAAGCAGCCAAGGAAGCGACAGTGAGAAAACAAGTTCGGCTTGCATGGACCAAGCTACGTGTCTCAATTTGCAGCAGGGACCATCTTCAGAGTTTCCTCGAGTTGGAGGAGAGATAAGAAGTTCCAGTTACCAGTCTCCTACTGAAGATTTGGACTGCCAAATTCAAGAAACTCGTGCAAATCTACCGTTACAGTTATTTAGTTCATCACCTGAATATGATAGCCCACCAAAACTAGCATCTGGTGGGAAATACTTCTCTTCTGACAGCAGTAATCCCATGGAAGAGAGGTCGCGTTCATCTTCTCCACCTGTTGTGCATAAGCTATTTCCAATGCAGACTTCCAGAGAAACGATGAAGCCTGAGAGTATGTCAATGAGTGGAGAAGTTAACACAAATGTTGGAGGTAGTCAGACTCGTGGTTGCCTAACTTCTCTTGATCTTTTTGGAGGGTCAAGTGGAGGAGCTGGCAATTGTTCAGTTCAAAATTTGTCGTACCATGCAGAGTATACATCTTCGTCTGGATCCGATCTGTCACCCTCTAGTTTTCATTCTGATGCTCAGGTAATGCAATACTCGAGCCTTAAGCTATCCATGCCTTACCTATTTCTCATGGGATTAAAATTGTCCACCATCTATGCAGGATCGCACTGGGCGAATCATTTTCAAGCTGTTTGACAAGGATCCCAGTCATTTGCCGGGGACATTGCGAACACAGGTACACAGTTGTCTGGTTTGATTCATAAATAATTTTATTCTGATTGATGTAAGAGCGTAATGTGTTTTGTTGCTTCTTTTGCTGTAGATCCATAATTGGCTTTCTCGCAGTCCATCAGAAATGGAGGGCTACATTAGGCCTGGTTGTGTTGTTTTGTCAATTTACCTATCCATGCCATCTTCTGCTTGGGATCAAGTGAGTGAGCTGATGTTGTACAAGTTACATTTTTTTCCTGTGTGGTTTTTGTGCTGACCAGTTGCATGGTACGTGTGGTGTTGGCAGCTTGAAGAAAACCTCTTTCAATGGGTCAGTTCTTTGGTTCAAGATTATGACACCGATTTTTGGGGAAGTGAAAGGTTTTTAGTTCACACCGACAGGCAGTTGGCATCACATAAATGTGGTGAGTGTTGCTATGAATTTGATTGAGATGAGTGTATTCATTTTGTATAGTTTCTTGAGGTGCCACTGTTTATAAACCAGATGGACAAAAATGAGAAATGGTTATGAATATGCCATTTTTTAGTAGAAGTTTGGACTTAATGTTGTCACTGTGATTTTTGAACTTCAGATCTTTGTTGTATGTTATTTGATCTTCAGGAAAGATTCATCTCCGCAAATCTAGGAGAGGATGGAATTCCCCAGAAATTATGTCTGTCTCCCCTTTGGCGGTAGTGGGTGGGCAAGAGACCTCTCTTTTACTGAAGGGAAGAAATATGAGTACTCCTGGTACCAGGTATTTGGACTCCCCCCCTCCCTTCTCTCTCTCTCTCTTCCCTTCTCCCAATTGCTTGATGGGCCATTCCATTTACTTTAGATCTCGCTTTTTCCAATGTTAAAGGCTGATGATGTTGCAGGATTCACTGTACGCACATGGGAGGGTACATCTCGAAGGAAGTTCCAAGGTCAGCCTGTAATGAAAATGCATCTGATGAGATAAGATGGGGCTGCTTCACAATTTCTGGTGCAACTTCTCCGGGCCTGGGTCGCTGTTTCATTGAGGTAGCAATTTTTACTCAATTTGTCTGGGTTTTACTATCTGATTGACAATATAGATTAGGTTCTAAATTTTTTACGATTACTATTTATATGAATAGGTTGAAAATGGTTTGAGAGGGACCAGCTTTCCTGTAATTATAGCGGATGCTCCTATCTGTCAGGAATTGAGACTCCTTGAGTCTGAAATTGAAGGTGGAAAAATACGTCAGGCTATTTCAGAGGACTACGCCCATGATTTTGGCATGCCCAGGTCAAGGGAAGAAGTCTTGCATTTCTTAAACGAGCTTGGATGGTTATTCCAAAGAAAAGGGATCCCTTCTGTGCCCGAGGATCCTGATTATAAACTCAGCCGGTTCAAGTTTCTATTGGTGTTTTCAGTTGAAAGAGATTTCTGTGCTTTGGTCAAAACTCTGGTAGACATACTAATCAAAAGAAACTTTGGGAGGCATGGGCTTTCAAAGGAGTCCTTGGAGATGCTATCAGAAATTCACCTCTTGAATAGGGCAGTTAAAAGGAGGTGTAGGAATATGGTTGACTTGCTCGTACAGTATTCTGTACTTGGCACTAATGATACCTCCAAGAATTACATCTTTCAGCCAAATCTTGTTGGACCTGGTGGTGTTACACCTCTACATTTGGCTGCATGCACATCAAATTCAGATGATATGGTTGACGCACTTACAAGTGACCCACAGGAGGTTGTTTGGTTTTACTCTAATAATGCTATCTTTCTCTCTGTCTCTCTCTCAGGTTAAACTAATGCCATTAGAAATTCCTGGCTTCTAAAACCACAAAATTTCCCACCCTCTTTTTTTTTTTTTTTTAAATACACGTTGCCTTGTGTGATGGAATGAGGATATGCTACCTAAGTTGATATGTGGGACCAGCATGGGGACAAGTATTAAGCTTCTTTTTAGGATTCGCCTGGGTCTTAGTTTGAACCTGGAAATATTTAGCTTTTGGAATTTGACTATCATCTTAGAAACATTTTATTCATGTATTATTTACACTTCGATTGTTTCAATTTCCCCCCCCCCCCCTGCTTTTTTTTTTAATTCCTTCCCTTTTTTGGGGTGCTGAATGTGTATTTTTTCTGATCTTCTTATCGCTCGCATTTTGTAGATTGGGTTGCGCTGCTGGGATTCCCTTGTTGATGTGAATGGGCTGTCTCCATATGCCTATGCCTTGATGAGAAGTAATCACTCTTACAACCGGCTAGTGGCTCGAAAACTTGCTGACAAAAAAAGTTGTCAAGTCTCCATATCTATTGAGAATGAGATAGAGCAAAAGATGTTTACAGGGGTTCAGGACCACAGGCCTACTTTCCCCCTTAAGCAAGTACAAAAATCTTGCTCCAAGTGTGCAATTGTTGCTGCAAGATATAATAGGAGAATTCCCAGTTCAGAAGGCTTGCTTCACCGGCGCTACATTCATTCTATGCTTGCCGTTGCTGCTGTATGTGTTTGTGTCTGCCTGTTCTTGCGAGGCTCCCCAAATATTGGCTTAGTTGCTCCCTTTATGTGGGAGAATTTGGATTATGGCCCAGTTTAGTTGGAAAGATAAAGAGAATTATATACACATACTTTGGAGAGAGGAGGGGGGAGAGCATTATGTTGGCCGAGAAGGTGAGGGCCAGGATTGTGATTGGAGTGGCATTGATTGGTTCAGTTCAGTTGTGGTACTTTGAAGACCAAAGGATTATGTGGCAGATTAGTTGGATGCTGCATACAACATTTTGCAAACCTGAGATTCGGAATTTTCAAATACAACTGAGTGGATGAGATGAGAAGGAAATGAAGAAGAGAAAAAATGATGGGCATGGGCATTATTATGAAAAAAGCAAGATATGAAAAGCGTATATTGAAGAGATAGCAGAAGCGCAAGCAAACTTGCAGTTCTCTGAGGTGGTTGATCCGTCACCTTTTGTGCTGGTTTATGGTCCTTGACTTGTTTAATATATATATATATATATATTTTTTTGTTGAAACTGGACTGGAGAGCTCATCAAAGAAACTCTTGGACACTATGGATTGATTTGGTCATTGTAAAGAATGAGTAGGATAATCAGGAATTAATTACAATATTTATTTAGGTTAATATTTTGTTTGAAGTATATTTATTTACAATAACAAATTTAAAGTCTTGATCTGTTTTGGTGATTGTAGTTGACTTGCATACCCAACAAACAAAAAAAAACAAAAGTGACATGTAATGTAATCCATCAAAACTAACTCCGGGTTAGGTCTGCTGAGGATCATGTCGACTTGTGCTGCTAATGTCTACTTTCATTGTTGGAAATTTAAAATAAATGATTTAATTTATTAACATACATATTGATGTGATATTAATATAGTCTAATAGTATTATTGTAATTGTAATAGTTAAATGCCAAATGAGCCCCCAGACTAATTACTCAAGTCACATGACGATTTCTTGACATTTTAATAATATCACGACTCCAAGTTCTTGAATTTTATAATACACGACCCCTTAAATTCCATCGTTTTAAGAAAAATGTTATATAATCTCAATTAAACTTGTAAGTTAAAATCAAAATATATATTAGCATTCGGATGAATAAATCTCACTAAAACTCACTCATACAAAAGATAAAACATATATATTTAAGTTGTAATTTTTTAAATTTCATTTGAATTTTATAATATTGTCCATCATCTTATGGTCATTAATTGTACTAGCAAAAACTAATTATGTCGTCTAAGAAACCATATATTTGCCCCCTCCAAAAAAAAAAAAAAACCCTAAAGCTGTACAAATAACTTATTTGCAAGATAATTTTGTTTCCAAAAAATGTTAAATGAAAAGATGATTCTATCCCCCTAGATAAATAATTTTGTTTTTAACTACTCTAATAAAAAAAATAATATTATTGAGACTTAATTAATGCATAATTTTGTTTTTAACTACTCTAATAGAAAGAATAATATTATTGAGACTTAATTAATGCCCAACCCAACATTTTTGTCCGAACGAGACTAATAGTTTATTTAGTAGGATGGCTGAAAAAAATAAAGATAAAAAAAAAGAGTAATACACTTTCTATCCTTTAAGAGAAAAAACCATTCCCCTTTTTTATCTTTTGTATTTGATAAGAGGAATGAAAAGTAGAAAATTTATAATTTTTTGTATTTGATATGATGAAAAAAGTATTTTTTTAATTTTCAATTAGAAAAAAAATATAAATACATATTTTAGTATTATATCTATATATAAAATTAATGTACATGTAATATGTAATTTATAAATATAATATATTTATATATATCAAAAGATGTATAGACAAATAACATACATTTTTTTTTAACAAAAATAACATACATTTTAACAATATAATTAACTTTTCCTTCTAATTTTGGAGGAATTGATTTTGATGAGTTAAAAAAAAGTTAATTCATCAATTTTTCCAATCTTTCTTCTTTTCTTTCGTTACCAAACATAATATTTTATTTATCCCTCTAATTTTCTATCCTTCCAGCTTTCCGTCCATCAATTTTTCTATCATACAAAAACGAAGCATAGTTCTCTAGAAAGAAAAGAGATGAGATCTTGGTGAAAAGCATATTTACAAATTAAATTGTTACAAGAAAGCCATATGCTAATCAACATCTAAGAACAAAAAGTTACAAAGTTTGAAAAATCTGCAAATTTGATAAGAACGGTGAAGCTTCTTTGACCCTCTGAAAACCAACCACCACAAACATTCAGTTGAACCTCAGAAAACTTACTGTGAAGTTTTATGATTCAGCCAGCAACCACGAGGACCATGACATCTTTACCTTATTTGCATATTCAATCCAACCAATCAATAACTTCATAAAAGAGCCATTTAGAACAAAGGACATTACATTGGTGACAATATTATATAAGTGCAAACTACTGTTACATGCACGTACGCTGAAAACTAAACAGATGAGTGAATCAATAAAAAGAACCAGTATCAGTTATTTAACAAAAGAAACAGTTATAAGAAATTCTGACCTCACAATACAGGCATGTATTTTCTTCTTAATTTCTATAATGTTTGATTTGGATTTGTACTTGACCACAATTTTCAGTTGTTTGCAACACATAGCTGGTTCGAACTTAATTCCAATCCTTGGCTATGGGCAAAGCAAAAGTCAAGTGGAAAAGTAAAATAAGCATTGCAAAACAAACTATAAAAACCCGCAATTCAAAATCCCATCTCCCATCGCATAGTTATTGTAGTCGTCCAAACAGCTACTCAAAATAAATTTGATAACAGAAATGAAAACCAACACACATGCATAAAAATATAGCATTAAATCATCCAAGTTCAACTGTTAAACACTGCCTAATCTAAGCTTAACGATAACCACACTTCAACAACATGATCTCTACTGTAGTACAACTGGGCTCAAATTTTATTATTATTGTTTTTTTTGTACATATAGCATTAAATCATCAATACAGATCCATATTCTGCTGTGCATTAACGTGCCATATGTGCATAAAAAACTAGATAACAAGCAAGCCAGAGAAGAGCTCAATTCTGTCACCCAGATGCAGACGAATATGTGTGTACAAATATAAATATGACTGTTTGCAAGCACAACATATGCAAAATTTTTATGCTTCCTAACTTGAAAATTTCTATATATGTTTCTATTCTTCCTATGCTTTACCACATCAATTTCCCACAGTCTAGAAAAATTGACAAGAGAAGGGGCAGAAAATACCTGAAAAATTGAATCGATTAAGAGCTTTTTGAGCAGATGCTCGAGAGAGAGTTGTGGCCTAGGTGTTGATGATACTAGATGGCGTTGTGTCTATTCCAACAACCTTCACAGCTTTGAAAGCTCATTTGAGTGCTTTCCCTAATAAAATCTGTCTTTATTAACAAAAGCGCACACACACACACACAACACACACACACATATATATATATATCTATACATACAGAGTTGCATTGCTGTCGGAACGAATCGTCTTCCATGAAAACTCCGTGTAATAGAAATGTGAGTGAGAAGACCGTTCTTCTCCGTTTAAGCCTCAGTCACAGCGTCGCAAAACAGGCTATAAGAGACTTGCGAATATTGATTAAAGATCAAAATTTCGTACCAAATTCTAAAAGTTAGGGCTTTAGGAAGGAGAGCAATACAGAGACAGTGAGTGTAAGAGAGAGAAAAGGGGCAGAGAGAGAGAGTGATGGATAAAAAAATGAGGAGAGAGAGAAATAGAGTTACAGAGCGAGGGAAGAGACGAGGCGAAGAGAGGCAGTGGAGGTTGAATTGGGCACTGGATCTTTGCCTGATCTGAGCCGAACGAGGAGAGAGATAAATGAGTCAGGTTTCAATTTGGAGCGACGCCAACAGAAACGGATGTGCTCCTCCCTTTCCCTAGGACCAACTCAGAACCCTACCCCATGATAAAATCACAACCCCCCAAATTGCCACCACCATCACCACCTCAGGCCACCAACCTAACCCACCACAAGCATCGTCGTTTAAATGGTGAGAGAGAGAGAATCCGATTTTTTATAGTGGCTGAGGCACAGCGATGCATTTTGTGAGTTTTTTTTTTTTTTTTGGTGTTCCCTCCTGGGGGCACGGCTCCACTGCTGTTGCTGGCTAACAGCACACAATGCTGTTTAATGCAACGGCACCGTTTTTGGCGTGAATCCCCCCAACAGACTGCCCTCCAGCTTATGCACTGCAACATTTGTGTTGTCAGGTAGTCATTTTTTTTTTGTTTTTTGGAGTGGGTACTTTAATGATAAGGTTTAATTTTTGTCTTCTAATTTATAAAAAAAAAAATATTATTATATCTATTACATTAAAATTGATATATAACAATTCCTTGAACACAAAAAAATTAAAATCAATGATATATTTTTCTCTATATGTAATCATGTTATCAATCATTCATTGATATCCATTTTATTATGCAATTGAATTCTCACGATATTCATTTTTAATTTATTTAACAACAACATGTAAGTTGAGAAAAAAAATAAAAAATTATATTATTATATCTATTACATCATACTTGATATATAAAAATTCATTAAACAAAAAAAAAATCAATGATATATTTTTTTCTATATTTAATCAAGTTATCAATTATCTATTGACCAGTCATAACCCATGTTTGAAGATACAATGAAATATAAAATTCAGCGCCCAAAAAATCTATTTTATTATATTAAATAATAATTTTTCAAAATATGTAATTTGATAAATTTTTCTCAACATATGTATATTATCGTGTATGAATAATATTTGAAATAAAAATTATAAGTTAATCAAATATTAAAATAATTAGACATGTAATAAAAATGAGTGATGTGATTTTTTAGGAGGAAAATATGTAAAGAATAAAATTCAATTTGTGAACTATCTTATTATACAAATATTCATTATGTTAAGAACAATATGTAAGTTGAGAAAAAAAAATAAAAATTAAACCTTGTCGTTAAAATATCCGCTCACTCAAAAAAAAATAATAATAAGAAGCGAAAACAATAGGGTTTTGGCATTTTGCTGGTAAAGGATTCAAAAGTTGGAGGGGAGTCTGTTGGGGGGTCCACGCCAAAAACGGTGCCGTTGCATTAAACAGCACCGTGTGCTGTTAGCCTTAACGTTGAGCTTGGATGACCATGAAGCACTAGATCAGATCCAGTTGCGTCTCAGAAAGGATAGCACGTAAAACAATTGGCTTTCACCAAAGCGCCACCCAAATAGAAGAAGAATAGCAACTCTCCCAATACCCTCCACATCTGTTGCATGATTGTAGTAACGGTTATAAGGAGGAGGCAAAGATTTCGCAGAAGAACAAGCGAAGCCTTGGATTATCATTATATTTTTAGGAGTAAGAGACTTCTTTGAGAATGCATTAGTCGGGCTTTCGAACTAGTAAACTAATATAATTTTTTTCTGTGTTGACCTCATTTCTCTAGTTCAATTCTTAAAAGCCTAGAAATTTAGACTGAATCACTCAGTGTCCATCAATTTTATATATTAACTCTATCGTACTAGATTCATCATCAGTCACCATATGATAAATATGTGCAATGTACCCGCCCACTTGTATATTATGGGAAGGGTTTAAATGAATTTTCAGAAGATTGGATTGTAGATTTGGAAAGGGTTGGATGATTGGGTTTCATCTAACAAGAGGGGAGAGGAAGTTGGCTTTATAGGGGTATCAATGAGAGATTTTAGGGATTGGAATTTGGTTTGGGGGACAAAATACGAGTGTCAAGGAGTATTTTTGAGATTTTTAAATTGGTAGTTATGGTATGAGGAGGAGGGAATCAATTAGAATTTCTCCTCCAAATATTTGACAGCAACCAGATGGATTCTCTCCTTAAAATGTTGCAAGATTTCAACAATCAAGGATGAAATCCTTCATACTCATGTTAGACAATTTTTCGGCGATACGGGAAGAAGGAAGACATAAGAAATTTGCAAGGATTTTCCCAAGTGATAGCAAATATTGAGCATGTTTTCAATGGATACAAAGTTCTAGAAGAGTTGAGTTTAATATGGACTAGATTTTTTATCGTGTTTTTCTTTTGATATATAAAAGATTATATGATATATGTATTTGTTGCTTCAAAAGAGAAAATGGTGAAAAGGTAATATAAGAATCTGAAAAAAAAATGTTAGCGTCACCAAATTATAACGACACGTGTTATACACATACATACTCAAGGGGTATGAGTGTTATTTGTCAAACATGAGGGGTTCGTCTAATTAAGTGATAAATTTTAAGAGGTCAAATGTAATTTATCCAAATAACTATAAAACAATGTCGTTTTAAGCTTTAAATAAATCAAACCACATTGTATTGAATTAAAATTTTTATTTTGGTAGCTTACCAATATTAATACCTTTTTTTTTTTGGCACCTTATTGAAGTAAATACACATTTTTTTGTTTCGGGTTTTTTGCTGAAACAAATATTCAATTTTTTGCTTTGACATTAATTGACAAAGCAAAAAATTGAGTAAAGGACTCAAAAACCCATTTTTGTTGCAGTGAGTTTTTACTTTAGTTGAATACCGAATCAAAAAACTCTATTTTTTGTTTCGGCGTAATTTATTGAAATAAAAAGTAAGAGTAATTGTTTTGACATTCAATTAAAACAAAAAAAATTTAAATATTCAGGCTAATACCTATGCAAATAACTCTTGAGTACCAAACTCTTTTTCTTGTAGTGATATGACCACCGACAAGGACCATATTAGTTTAAGTTATGGACTCTCTCTCTCTCTCTCTCTCTTATCTTTTAAGTTTTCTTCTTTGAACTAATATCCAAATCTCCCTCAACAGTAATATGTGAGTTAAACTATTTGCAGTTATCATGGTTAGCACGTAATTTGGGTTTACTTCCTTCTTATTGGTGGCCAAGAAACCAAGCTGTAGCTTACAATTTACAAACAATGTTATAGAGATTAAAATCAGAAAATATATATGTTCTCATTCAAACGCCAATATCTCAATCATGAATACGAATAAAGTTGATGAAGAGCTAGCGTTGTACACACTAGCTTATGCAGTCATTATGTTCATTCTATTCTATTCTATTCTTCTTCTACCCCTCCCTCCTCTATTCTGAATGAGAGCTTGTCCGAAACCTTCACCAAGCCCCTCAATTAGCCCTCCCACGAATTCTATAACCACCTGAGAAGCGAGACGAGCAGCAGTCCCCAGCATGTTTGGTTTTTCTGGGGGTTTGATGCCATTGGCTTGGAGCCCATTAATCATGGCCTTAGCACACACTGCGTGGATGTGATACTCACAAACGGTGCAACCGTACAATCGACCCGATCTCTTCCTCTTGCACTCACCGCAGACGAACCCTGGCTCAGTATTTGATGATGAAGTCATCATTGGTGGTAAGAGCTTTAAGGAGTGTGAATGAGTTGAAAAGTTCATTTCACCGGAAAGCATAGCACAGCAAGGGTGCATCTGGAAACTGCAGGCACTGCATCGGAATGTAAAACCTTTGGTGGCCTTGCCACAAACATCACACCTTGGCCATACAATTCCACCTTTAATCCATAGCAGTTAAAAAATTAGGACATTAATAGGAATCAAAATCCAAGTGATCATCATGAGGACGAGTATTATTAATTAGATACATCAATCAAAGTTAAATTCATTTGGAGATCGAACCTGCTGTGCTTGCTGGTTGAATGGTGATCGAAAGAATAATTAAAGAGAAGCATATTACGAGAACATGGTACCTGTTTTGGGTTTAGGATGGAGTACGAGTTGGTGTTGGCCATGGAGGGGATGATTCTTGAGAGCAGGAGGAGATAAGGCACAAAACTCATGCAGCTGAAAATCACATTGTTTGCAAGTGAACCTTTTGCCTGCGCCGTACTCCTTGCAACCAGCACAGGTAAAGAGTTCAGGCAGCATAACTTTCGCTAGTGGGTGCTTCGAGTGACTGTAATGAAGCATATCTTCTCCCAGCGTCGGTTGAGGGGAGGTGGGGTATTCCACTGAAAAAGACTTCTTTGGAGCAATTGTTTTTGAATGAGGGGTTGGGAGTTCCATTGAAGGATCTGACTCTGTGTGCTCCTGCTTGGATGTGTCTTGACTCCTACCACAGGGCTTCCTTCAATTGTTGGTGCAATTTGCAATGTGCGAATATTATTTATGCTTTATAGCTACAAAAGCTATCACTGTTCTACGATCAATCAGATCAAGAGGAAGCCAGTAAGGCGCCCAGCCACAACGGCTTGCACGCGCTTAGACTATATATACTGTGCAAAACAACAAAAATCCGATGTTTGTTGGGGAAGAAAAGAATAATTGGCCAACAATTATGATTGAAAATTTACTTGGGTACCACAGATGATGCTGTTGAACGGTGCATGGCAACATCCATGATTAATAAGGGCAAAGGTGGAGGATTCTTTTGAAGAAATCTTGTAGTTTTCTGGGGTTGTTCCCTGGAAAAGCAAACAACAGAATAAATTTCTGGCCCATAAAAGTAGTGTTGATAATTGACTTAGGGAAATTAAGGTGTAGCTAGACACCAATACCATGGCTCCAAAGTCAAGGTTTTCCTTTTTAACTTTGATTTGATTTGATTGTGGGCAGTCTGTATTTCTCCAATCAAAGTTTCCCTTTTTCGAGTCCTTAGCAAGTATGACAAGAATCCACGTACTTTTAAGAGGGTGGGTTGGGTTCTTATTCGATACAAAGTGGAGACGAAGAAATTGTTGCAGACTCTTTTCTGGTTAAAAATTGCATAGATTCCTTCATCAAAGTGGGGATGTGATGTTTGAAGTTTTCTCCATTATGAGTTGTAAAGCGATTTACAAAACAGATATTAATGAAGTTCGTTAACCAATCGTTTGACTTGGGGGTCACTGATGTGTATAACAAGTGATTCTCAATAACAATTAACGAGGGCTATTTTTTTGGAGTAATATTATTGGACCTAATTTATTGATTTAATTTAATATGATATTTGGATTTATTATAGATCCCATCAAATATTGAAATTTGGTATTTATATAATAATTCTTACGAAATTACATCATCATATTAATAAATTAGATCAAAATTTTAAATTCAAATAATATTACTCATTTTCTTGCCTACATTAAGAAAAGCACAAAAGAAACTGAAAAGATAATAAGCCAGCTATATTCGATCATACATCTTATTTTGGGCATACAAGTATCATTCAATCTCTTTATCATTTTTTTTTTGGGATGGAGAGGAAAAAAGAAAAAGACAAAACTTTTACAAGACAAAGAGTACTATTAAATTAAAAACCCATCAATATATATATGTATATATATGTGATAATGTTATTTCATATATGTGTAATTTGGAATGCTTTAGGGTGTAATTTAGGTGGGTCAACTTGAATTCAATTTGAATCCAACAAAAAAAAAAGGACTTGGATTGATATTTTTAATACTTGTGTTGAGCCTAAGTTAAAAAAATTAACACGAATTAAATTTAGGCAATACCCAAATTGAGGCCTCAAGTTATTAGATTCAACTTGAACATATAAATCGGGTCAACCCAATTATGCATTTGGGTTCAACCAGAATATTAAATCGGGCTTAACCCAAATATTATAGTTAAACGTTGAGTTTAATATGTTTTTTTTATGTTAATTTAGCTATTATGGTTATTATATTGTCGTAATGTTAAGAAAAATATAATTTGTTTTTTGTTTTGTATGTATTTTTATGCTTTAAATATTATGATCTTTATATTAAATATTTAATTGAAATTATTAATTACTGTATTATTTTGAGTGAATACCATTTAATATGTACCAAATTTAGAACAACATTTTAATCTTAAACAAATTTAATTTGAATTCAAACATGAAATAATTTCTGATCCAATAATATTTTAAGTTGGGAATGTATTAGAGTGAGCGTTACACTCGTAAAATTACATCCCACGGACACCCAGAAATAATTACACCCCACCATTTACTGAATTTTCTTTTTTCGGGACTCTAATTTGTCTTAATGAGAGGACCCCACTTCACGTGGGAGAACCCACAATCTATGACATTAGACAGGGTTTGGGGGTTATGAATCTACACAGCCGGCCAGCATAATGCTGCTCCAACTCTGTCGGAATCGACGAACATCTCTTGATCGGTAGGTAATTTTAAGTGATTGTTTAGAATAAATTTAATATCTTATTTTAGAATTTTTTTAAGATGAAAATAATAAAATTTTTACTCAATAATAGTGAAATTAAAACAGAGAATTAGAGCATCTAACTATTTTATATTTACTAGCTAAAATAAAGAGCTAAATCATAAAATTTTACACTAAGGGGCTAGCTATTTTATCTTTAGACTAAATGACTCTTTACGTTTAGAGAACCTCTTTAGTCACCTATTTTATATTTTGAGAGAAATCACTCTTTTTGCATTTTAAGGGTCTAGTTATTTTATATTTTGTTATTATGTCAAACTATGAAATATTTTTGACTTAAAATATCAATAATAGTCAGCTAAATTAGAGAGTATAATTGGAGTAACTTTGTAAAGTAATTTTTTAAAATAAAGAATCAAATATTTTGATTATCTATTTTGAAGAGCAATCTTAAGGACGTTGAAGAAACTCTTTTATTAATTCAATTAAAAGACTTTAAGTATAAGAGATTGAATGAACAACTTTGATTGTAATATTAATTACTCGTAAAATTAATTTAAAATTATTTTTAAAAGTGCCATGATGGTGGTTTTAGAAAGGTGTCTTTCTTCTCTTATTAAATGTCTTTTTATAGCTATCTTCTTCTCCCATCGATGGTTACTTAATGAAAACTCACAATTGGTTATTTTTCTTTTTTCAAATGTGACTGCAACCGATAATCTCCCACATTTTTAGCATATCTAGAGATCCGAGTATCAATATATTGAGTATTCTTTGGATTTTATAGTTTAGGCCCAAACACTGCCTCTACAAAAAAAGTGGCTTTCAAGGACACTAATCAGAAATAGAGGGAGGACCCACCTGCCAATATCTCTTTATTTTTTTATATACTAGCAATGCATGTATTTTATGCCATGAAACACATATGCTAAGAAACACGGATACGGATATGAGATACAAATATAATACGATATGGATACAACGATATGACAAAATCTAAAAAAATAAGATATGAGTACGACCAATATACGGCTATAATAAAATATATTTAATATTTTTATTATTTTCAATTAGTTTAATACTTATATATTTTAATAGTTCTTTAATATACAATAAGTAAAATTAGTAATTTTTTTAATTTCAAGAAAATATATATTATATCGTTGTAGTATATTCACAAAGTAAAGTGACTAATTAAAGGAATCAAAACTAATATTTACCTAGTATTTATAAGTAATTTTTGCTAAGATAATAATATAATTATTTTATTTTATACTCTTTTGACATGTAACTGTAAATAATACTTAAAAAACACTTATGTTCCTTTGAAGTAATATGAATTTTTTATTAATGTATTGTGTGGCATATGAATTTGAAAAGAGATATTAAAAATTTAACTCAAAAAAGTTTTTCTGCATGTCATAGTCAAAGTTAGAGAAAAAACAGACTGAGATCAAAGTCAGAGTCTGAAATCTTTTTCGAAAAAATTCTGACTCTGACTTTGACTTTTATTAATTGATAATTTTATATAAATTATATAATCTATATTATTTTAAAATATCATCATACATGAAACATATTTTTTTTCCATTTTTTTCTCTAACACTACAACTATGTCATGTTTATTCTACAAATTTATTGTCACAATTTATATGAGTAATGTTATTTGAATTTAAAAATTTGACATAATTTATTAACCTAATGATGTGGCTTCATTGGAACCCTTGCATTAACACCAAGTTCTAATATTTGATATAACAAACAACTAATCCAAAAATATTAATGAATAAGGTCAGCTAATTAGGTTACTAAATTAGATCTCAATAAAACTGCTCTAATATATATTTATGTCTATTTTACTATATATATATATACTAGTCATTGTCCATGCTTGAAGGCAATATGTTACTAATAAAATTTCAACACACAAAGATAAGAAGTTTGAATAATTTCAACACATAGCGATTAAATTGGTTTTGAATGTTTTTTATTTGGTATCTTATTTTTTTTGTATTGGTTACTTATTTTTTTTTAACTGCTGATTAACTTGGGTTTTGAATTTTTTTTTTAATTTTATGAGAACTATAGGTTTTCATACAATAGTGATTTATTTTTGGTATGAATAATAACTTGATGATTTTATTTATGAATTATAAAGACAATTTAAACTTCATTGATTGATAAGAAGTAAGAAGTAAACATCAACCATCGGTACTAAGATGCGTGATAAGAAGATCTACTTATAGTGTACTCTAGGTATAAATTAGTTTGTAATAAAAAGGATGAAAAATTATATAGTAAGTATATAATGATTTTTAATGAAATATTATACCAAAGGTTTTGAAAAAATCAATATACTAAATAACTTACATGTCCAAAAATAGTGATATTGTCCATTTGAGTACTGATTTTTGTATAGTAGTGACGATATGTATGCGGTTATTGAGGTCAAATGTTAAACTGTCAAACTTTAAAAAAGAAGCACTAAACTTAGAGATATTACGTATTTTATGTGTGTTTAATAGAAATATTTTTAATTTTCTGCAAAATTTTATTGTAAAATTAGAAATTAAACAAAACCAACTTAAATTAAGGTACAAATAATACACTTTTAACAACAATCAGTTAATGACAATACATCCATAACTAAACCACGCGAACGTTAAAAATTAAAAATAATAAACTATTGTCAAAACATACACCATTAAGTCAAACAAAAAAAATCATCAACAATAAAAAATAATAGGTACCAGCGACAGTACTTCCAGATGATAGATCATTGTCAATACAATTTGGATAGAAGAGAGTGGGTAAGTCCAATGGAACCCTAAATTATGTCGTGCGTCGCTGAAGAAGATTTGTCAATTGTTGGAGTCTACACAAAGAGATGAGAGACTGAGAAGGATGATAATGATTTCTAAGAAATTAAAAAAGGTGAGACGGTTAATGGGAAAAAGAGAAAGAGTTTGGG